TCAGTGATTCACAGTCAAACCGGAAGGGCATATTGAGTGGAGTCCCACAGGGATCAGTTCTGGTTAGGAGGATAGAATTAAAATTCATAATGATCTGGACAAACTGGAGAAATGGTCTGAAATAAATAGGATGAAATTCAATCAGGACAAATGCAAAGTAGTCCACTTAGGAAGGAACACATACAAAATGGGAAATGACTGTCAAGGAGGGAGTGTTGCGGAAAGGGATCTGGGAGGTCATAGTGGATCACAGGCTAAATATGAGTGAACAGTGTAACACTATTGCAAAAAACCAAACACCATTCTGGGATGTATTAGCAGGAGTGTTGAAAGCAAGACACGAGAAGTAATTCTTCCACTCTACTGTGCTGATTAGGCCTCAACTGGAATATTGTGTCCAGTTCTGAGTGTGGACAAAATAGAGAAAGTGGACAAAAAGATGTAGACAAACTAGAGAAAGTCCACAAAAGAGCAACAAAAACAATAAAAGGTCAAGAAAACATAACATATGAGGGAAGATTGAAAAAACTGAGTTTGTTTAGTCTGGAGAAGAGAAGACTGAGAGGGAACATGATAACAGTTTTCAAGTACATAAAAGGTTGTTACAAGGAGGAGGGAGCAAATTTGTTCTCCTTAACTTCTGAGGATAGGACAAGAAGCAATGGGCTTAAATTACCGCAAGGGTGGTTTAGGTTGGACATTAGGAAAAACTCAACTGTCAGGGTGGTTAAGCACTGGAATAAATTTCCTAGGGAAGTTGGAGATTTTTAAGAGCAGGTTGGACAAACACCTGTTAGGGATGGTCTAGATAATATTAGTCCTGCCTTGAGTGCAGGCAGCTTGACTAGATGACCTCTTGAGGTCCCTTCCAGTCCTACGATTCTATGATTCATGGCTCCAGTATCCTTTCAGAAAATCAGCAGATTATTACATGTTTTTTAAAAAACATCCAGACTATTGGCTTGATTGCGATATCACTTATATCTGCTCTTTTTTTGGCCTGCTTTCCATAATTAAAAATAATATTAACATATGGCCCTTTATTGCTTATAATTCACAAGTGGTGTTTCTTTCCTAGAATGTAGTGGACATCTAAGTACACAAGTGACAACCATCTATTAGGAAAAAAGAAAAAAAGGGGGGGAGGAAAGGGAATTTTTCTTCTTATGTGTTCCTTACCTATACGTACAGCTGGTCAAAAATTTTCAAACAAAAAGTTTTTTCATCAAAATCAATATTTTCTATCAGAAAATGTTGATTTCTATGAAATTTTTCAATTTCCCAAATGCATATTTCCAAGCTAATCTAAATATTTCCTTTCAAAATATTGATTTGATCTGAAACATTCCATTGATGTGCACATGGAAACAATGAGACACAGATATCCTAATATGGTTAAATGCAAAGGCTGCAACTTTACTTAAAACTACAGTATTACCCAACTGGAGTGACAACCCAAAAATACTCAGCAGGGTTGTTCCAGGGCTGATCTCAAGGGGCACCAATGGCCCTCATGTACTACAAACCTGAGATTGAATGTGAAGGCCATGCCCACTCTATACTCTTAGGTCTGGCTCAGGGCCCCAACTGGAAGCCAGTCTTGACCCATCCATTCCTCCACACCAGAAATAATAGAGATAAGACAAAGGGAGCCACAAGCTGCATGACACAGAGGCAAACCCAATGTGCAAAATCATGCCCAGAACCAATACCCAAGCAGATTACTGAGTTATAGAGACCTCAATCAGACCTTTTCTAACCAAACCACCACATGCATCTGCCAAAGTTGTGACAATTGTAACTTCAATGCCATAAACATGCCAGATGGAGGGTAAAAAAATCCACACAGCAGTTTGCCAATTTTGCCATATGGGAAAAATCCCTTCCAGAACATAAAACTGGTGACCAGCCAAGCCCCCAGAATCAACAGAGCTCCAGAAACTAGATTAAGGGTGGGGCTGAAACAGGAAGTTCACAATGAGCGAACAGTTTCAACTGACACCCCCCTTCCCCGCACACTTCACCTCCACTTGGTGGGAGCCAATCACATGGATGAAGCACCAGCTCCACCACCCAGCGTATATTTTGAAACTACACATTTTGTTTCTAATTGACATTTTGTTGTAATTGAAAATGTCAGCAATCGGAAGAACAAGCTGTTTCCTATGCAACTTGGAACATGCATTATCACTTGTGCTTTTCTAATTCCAGCCAAAACCATCTCATTTTGAAAATCACTAAGTTTGGAAGAAGGGTAGGCAACCGGGTAGGCAACCTGGCAGCAAAATTCAGTCAAGAAAAGTAGTGGACATAGGAATGAGCCATAGCTCTTGATCTAACTGACCTAGTAGACCTCTCCATCCCAAAGCAATTAAATCCCCAAATGAATAATCAAGGTAGGTGAAAAGCTCACTCTACAACACATAGCCAATGCAACAATTGACAAAAACTGAACAACTCAGTAACAATTTCCAACTTTGAGCAATATCCAAGGCACTCAATATCATGCTGATGTTTTCTCTGCCCATTACTCCCCTTTTTACACCAAACCTGGCCCTATAGCTTTCCCTGTTACCCCCTTTGACCTGAGGGCTAGTCAAAATTCAGGGGTCCAGACTGGGAAGTTCCAGTTTGAAGTAAAAATTGATGGTGATTGGTATCTTCTTGATGCAATCTTCTTCATTTCAAGGGATGTACAAAGTCCTGACTCTACGAACACAGAATAAACCAAGAATAAAAGGAGCAGTTTCTTAGCTTACAGCCCTCAAGCCTCTTTACCCAGTACCAGACCCAAAGCTCTAACTTTTTCCTGGATCACACTGTGCTTACAGGCTCCTGCATGGCTTTCTTGCCCCTCTCCCTCTCTCTGTTCTTGCCTGTTCTCTGTTTCTGTCTATTCTCTCTGACACCCCCATCCACATGGACACAATACCCAGTCAACCTGTCTGCCCACCTCATGCTAGTTTCTGGACAGACTCTATTAGACTTTGTTTTGAATGTGACTCCTTAACAGTCTCTTACAACTATCTTAAATAGATTCATTTACATATAAGTTTGAGTGAGGTTTTAATTCAACCCATAACAAGATTACACTCAGCTCATAACACTCTGTACAGGAAGGAAAGGTTGGAGAGCCCTATGGTGCTGTCACACTCACTAACTCAAAACATCTTCCTAACCCTAATCAAGGACTTGTGTATGACTATTGATTTTGGAGTTCTTTAGGCAAACAATTAAGCATCCAACATACTTCCTTTCTATGCAAAAAAATAAAAAGGAGTATGCATGCGGAACTTGCACAAAGAGGAACTAAAAGATGTTCAAACTCCAATTTAAATGCAGTGCACATTTCAATTCAATTCAAAGTCAAGTGCTTCCATATTTAGGACCTGGTTCACTTCTCACAGACACAGGTATAAATTATGAGTAACTCCTTTCAAAACAATGAATTTATCCCAGTGTGAAACTGGTAGAAGTGAGAGTAGAATCAAGCTGCCAATGTGAAAAATGCCTTTCACATTCCTTCCAAGTAGGTTGCATACTGCATGCCTGGTCACAATAAAAACAAATCCAGATGTCACACAACAAACAGCACAGTATGTACTACTGGCATTCATGTTTAGATATCAATATATTATGTAGTAAACTAAATTTAGAAAATGAGGTATGAGAATGAGTTTTAGTTCCAGGTTTTAAGAACTAGATACGTTTGTATACACACAGATTCTACTGTAGTTACTCTCTGCCCTAGAGTAACTTGTTCTCATTCACACTAAGGACTGGTCTACACTACAGATTTAGACCAACGTAACTCTGTAATCGTCTACACTGAAATGTAGCTCCCTTCGGTGCTCTATGTAGGTCTCATCGCCTTCCACCTCTGCGAGAGGTGTAGCGCTTAGGTCGATTTAGTTAGGTTGACACAGTGTCAGTGTAGGTACTCCATTGGTTACATCGACTGTTGCTGCCTTTCAGAAGCCATCCCACAATGCACCACACTCACAGTTAAATCGGTGCAAGTTCTCCTAGTCAGGACATGCACCAACGACACATGGAGCATATTGTGGATGTGCAAAAGCGATTTAATTACTGCAGTGGCTGTACATCGACGTAACTTAGGGAGACTTATTTTTGTAGTGTAGACTGTAGTGCAAAGGGGCCTTAAATGGATGTAAACCTTTATGCCCACACTAAGGTTTCTCTAAATAGCCAAAATGATGTAACAGGGCCTTAGTGTCAATAAGAATGTAGCCTTTTGTCCCTAAACATAGTCCTTATGGAAACAAAACATGGCACCATCTTACCTCTAATATTGCCTTAGATCAGTTAAATAAAGGAATTCATTTTTTGTTAATATTTTCTTTTCAATTAATTTTCTGATGAATTGGCATCACGCAGTCAAATGAATGAACATCTCGAATATGTTTGCAAGAATACCAACCCCAATATGAACCACAAGACAAAGTAAAACTTAAATGTTTTATAACACACAAAGCATTTTTTTAAAAAAGGGCACTGGATTTCCAGCTGTGCTTTATAATAAATTTGTATTCCACTAACTGATACCTACTTTTTCAACCAATGAGCATTAGGCTCTTCACCCACATATTTTGATGGGATATTCAGTTTAATGTCATATAGTGAAAGGTTTTTCACAAAAAATAAAAGGACATGTTGTTCCATATTCCCAATTGTCTTTGCAATCAGCACAAGCATAGTTTCATTGTATTCAATGCTGAAAGAACCAAGTAACAGCTGTTTCAAAATACCATGTGTTCATCTTCAAAGATGATAACCAGGCATTTTGGTATGGGGAAATGTGGCTGCAGCAGAACAAAATGTTTGGGAACATATTTAATCAAATGACAAATGTGTTTCAAAGTAAATTTGATCAAAGAGTCTTACTTACGTTTGGCTTTAGTTTACATTAGTGTAATCTCTCATTCTCTCAGGATTTTATGGTGCTCTAGTAAGTAGATTACAGACTAAAAGAATCATACCTGAAAAGGCTTAGCACTTGTAATGTTGAGTGTTTGCCTTATCCATCTGTTGCCTTGATTTCCAAACTTCTGCCACAGCAGATGACCCTTTGAGTTGCTCAAAATTCTCCAGAAGACGGACAGCCTATAAATGTGTTTTCCAAACATATGATAATGAAAGCGGAAAATGCAGCTTTTATTGCCATGAGTGGAAGTGCCATTAAAGATTGGACTCAGCAAAACTGCTCTATTTTGGAACACTTGCGGTTCTGAGGATTCTATGTAGAGATAATGCCCCTTGACTGTGCCCAAAGTATGATCCTTTATTGGTCCTGTGTTAAATGTGGAAGTTGGGCCCTGGTTTCTGGTCCAGTCAAAGTCATCATCCATGTCTTGGTTCCAGTTGCACAGCCCATTTTCAAAGTTACACTGTAGCTCAGGTTCTGAAATATGTAAATACAAACCTTGTCAAATGAAAGCAATATGCTACATCAAACAAAGTGATCTACTAGAATTTGCTTTTTCTCCTCACAGAGTTAACCTCAATGTAATTAATTATATTTAAACCAGTCTGAACAAGAAACAAGGACTAGATGCTTTCCTCACATGTATGTGGCAATATACACATACACAATGGGAGTTATGCTAAAGTATCATGGCAAATTCTGGCCCTAAATTGAAACTTGATTGGACAAACCACTAGAAAAAAATATAATGTAGGAAAGTGATTCTCAATCTTTCCAGACTACTGTACCCTCTTTAGGAGTCTGAAGCCAGAGTTCTGCCATCTGGAGAGTAAGCCCAAGCCCCGCTGCACGGGGCTGAAGCATGTAATTTAGCTTCATGGGGCCCTTGTGGCATGGGGGCCCAGGCAGTTGCCCTGCTTGCCATCCCTTAACACCAGTACTGCACTGCAATTAGGTTTTAAACTCTTACTATCCTTCAGTACTCAAACTAATTAGATATAGGCCAAGAAGCCAATGTTTGGATCCAGATTCAGATTAGTTTCAGGCTAGAATTCAGGGTTAGGGGCCAAACTGAATGAAGGTTCAAGTTTGGTTGCAATGGTGCCAAAATGTAATGAGCTTTTCTTGCAAGATTTCAGCCCTAAATGACAGAAATCTCCTGGTTGCGTACATTCAGGGCTCTGTTTACCATTGTAAATGTTATATTAGTTCAACTTCTTACCCTGGGAATTGGGGGAAGAAAAAATAAATAGAAAAGCAAAAGCAGTGAAAGTGTATGGGAATGTGAGAGAAAGGAGGACACCTTTGTACAGAATTTACAGTGTGGATACAGAATCATAATCATCAATACACCATAGAGTGTGTACTCATGTTGAGAACAGCTCACACCAACTTGTGCAACAGTAATAAACTTTATTAAAGGAAAAATGAACTGATTAATTCTAATAACTCAGAAAGATTAAGGCCACATATTAAAGGCTTCTCATCCTAGCCTCCATTTGTGCACACACCAATTTAAAACCTGACCTCCAATTGTGTGCCCTCCTCTTAGCTCCTCCATCCTACTGTGGCTTCCTATTGCACCATCAATATGAAGCCTCTTCCTCTTGACTTGTGTACCAGATTAGATTTTCCCCAGGATCAGTCTCAGTGTCTAGCTGCTTTACATAGCTTTCTGGGTTTTATATAACAAGATAGCCCATGTAAATTAACATTAGTATCAGGACTTGGGTAATCAGATAGGCAAAATGAAATCTGTTTAGTAATTTTAATTTTTTTACACTAAGTTATATATTAGCAAAAACATTATTGATGAGTTACAATTTTTTCCATTAGATTAAGGAATAATCTATTTTAAAATTAACAGAAGTTTTCCATTAACACTGCACCTTTTCACCTCTGTACAGGATTAAATGCAGCCTGACAAAAATAAGCTATTTGATTTAGGAAAGCAGGAAGTGTTGCTGTTCAGGAATGAAGAAGATAACAGAGTGAGCCCATGCCAAAGAAAGCAAAAGCCTCATTTGATGCCTCTTCACTTGTAAATTATCTGGCCCAACTGTGACTTGAACTGGAGGTCTATGGATCACAAAGTGATCATGGTAGCAAATGAGATAAAGGAGACTCTCCACAAGACATCACTTGCAGTAAGAGTGGCACCTTCCAAAAATTCAACCACTGGAAGTGTGAAACCATCACAAATCTCCCTCTATGCAAAGAGTTCTCCCCTGCTACTGTAACTCATTTTGATCTGCATAATTTAGACACCTCAGGATGTGATAATGTATTTGCTATTTATTAATTTTGCTATATGTTAATGTTCTTCTTGCCTTAAAATTTATGAGTGCATGCATGGAGGGAACGCCAACAGCAGCAAGATTCTGAAACACTGAAAGGTGAATATCATGAATGTGAATATACAGTAGCTTTTCTTCATTTTAAGAGTTCTTCCTTGGAGGGGGATAGTTAATCTCACTGTCACTACTATGACTGATTTGTGACACTACACCCCACATCCGTACCCATGGGGGTATGATTATGATATGATTATGACATAATTATGATGCAATTTGTACAAGATGAGTCATGTAAGGTGTTATTGGAAAAGTTATGATTTGCTGAATATGATAATCCTATTTGTATGACCAGATCACATGACACTGATCTCCATTTTGAGTGCCTGTATTTTTCCCACAAACTGGTCTGGGAACAAAGTTTGAAACCTATGGTTCCCGCCATATGGAAAAGCTATATAAGGCAGGGAGTGCCATCAGCTGTTCTTCTTCACTCCCCCACAACTCAACGCCTGAGGGAAGCTCCGAAAGAAAAGGACTTGGGATGGGGGTGGGGAGCCCAAGCTGCAAAGCAGGTGCAGCTTGTGTCTTCAGAATCTGCAAGTCTGCTTGTATCATCAGTCAGGGTGAGAAATTGCTAATTCATATCCAATCTTTCTGGTATCCTAGGCTTAGCTTGTGGTTTTATTTACTAGGTAATCTGATTTGATCTGTTTGCTATCACTGATAATCACTTAAAATCTATCTTTTGTAGTTAATAAACTTGTTTTATGCTTTAATCTAAACCAGTGTGCCTTTAAGTGAAATGCCTGGGGAAAAATCTTAGCTTGAGTTTATTGCATATTCCTCTCCCTAAATTCATACTGGTCGGGGTTTTGACCAGGGCAGGACAGTACAGCTCTGGGGTCCTAGCTTGGGAAACTGGGAGTTATCTTGGCTGTAGCCTCTCTATTGTTGGTTCATGTAGTGGCTGGCCAAAGCCTGCATGTAACTGCAGCTGGGTGTGGCCCTGCCTCTGTGAATGCCGGTGGGAGTGTAGGACTGGGCGCGGTCTGTAGCCTGTCACAGCAGCACAGTGCTGAGAGGGAGCCCAGGCTGGTGAGTCAGAGGGCTCAGTGGAACCCCAGTTCCAGGTGGCACCCTGGGGGGGGGGGGAAGAACCATCTCACTATTACCTCCATCATATACAGAATTGGGGGATATTATTCCCTACAGTATGTCAACATCTTATATGAATATAGATTTGCACCATACTTCATCTATTTAAGGAAAGTTAACATATTAAACAACAACAACAAAAAACCCTAACACACGTCGTACTACCACTCTGAGAATTATATTCTGAACAAGCAGAGCCTTTCTATATTTCATAGAAAATACAGAAATATGGCCACATTTGTAATAAAGAAGATTGGTCTGTGCATATTTGTTTTCATTTTCTACAAGAGCTAACTTCTAGGGCTTATCAGGTGTATATGGCACCAGTCAATCATTTTAAGATCGTTTTTTAACAACAGATCTATTCATCCCTAGTGTAAGCAATGCAACTTCCAGGTCTGAAATTGGTCATTATTATTACTTTGTTAATGGACAAGGAACAGAACTGCAAGTACTTACTGCAATTTTCCTCATCAGATCCATCCCCACAATTATCCACGAGATCACACACCAATAAACTGTCGATGCAAGCCTTTGTGTCTCGGCACCAGAAACGATCAGGACCTTCACAGCTTACTGCTGGAGGTGGAAGAGCACAGTTCTCGAAATGTATATCATCAATTGCTGAGACACCATCATAAAATCCAAGGCTGACTTTATACAGTGATAATTGGAAAGGCCATGGGAGGCGGCCGAGCTGAATGAAAGCCTTTAACCACTGCTTTCCTTGATTATAGTATATCCTCCAGAGGACAGTAGCGTTTTTCAGTCCATCAACATGTAATTGCATCTCTGCTGCTCCAACTGACTGTCCATAATTGTAATACCTAAAAAGGCAGCGGAAAATTCAAAAGGTGCAAATGATGAGGATGAATCATGTTAAATATACTGGACCAGTATCAGCTCTGTTATAATTCTATGGAATTTAATGGAATCACCCCTGGAATGAAGTCAGACCACAGTGCCTACAACCAGTTCAGCAGCAATTAACACCATTCTGTATGTGATCTCATTGTCATACCATAGCTATATTAGCTTATCTGCTCTGGCAGACTTGGCTGATATATGAATCATGGACACTTCTGAAGAAGTTAAGACTATGATGGAGGAAGGATTCTTAATTAAGTTAGAATCCATAACTGTACAGAGAAATTCTCCTTCATAGTAAGCAATTAACACAACACACTCACAGGCAAAATATTAATTGTATGAATGTAATTCAACAGATAAATTTAAAGCTTTGTTAAAGGAAAGCAAAACATCTAATGTATACAAGAACTGGGATTATTTAGTCTGCAGAAGAGAAGAATGAGGGGGGATTTGATAGCTGCTTTCAACTACCTGAAAGGGGGTTCCAAAGAGGATGGATCTAGACTGTTCTCAGTGGTACCAGATTACAGAACGAGGAATAACTGGAATGGGTTACCTAGGGAGGTGGTGGAATCTCCTTCCTTAGCGGTTTTTAAGGTCAGGCTTGACAAAGCCCTGGCTGGGATGATTTAGTTGGGAATTGGTCCTGCTTTGAGGTGGGTTGAACTAGATGACCTCCTGAGGTCCCTTCCAACCCTGATATTCTATGATTCTCTGAACATGTCTTCCTTTCACCACAATTATTAATGGCACTTTGCACTTCATCTAATGATCTCAAAGCACTTTACAAAATTAATGCTTACGACATCCCCATGAGTTTAGTATTACTATATCCCTCTTACATATAGAGAAACAAATTATGTGACTGGTCCAACAGTGACACAGCAAGTCAGTGCCAGAACTGGGAATAAGACCAGAACTTTTGACCTTCAGTCCCATATTCTAACCACTAAACAGACTTGCCTCCCATTGACAACAGTACCACTCTTTGGTGATAAGAGAGATGAGGTCATTTCCAATTAACTCTTTCTTCAGAAAAACAATTCTGAATTTTTTCACTGAACAAAATTTCAGCAACGATAAACTGGTTCATTTAAAAATAAGCACCACCCTGAACTTAAACACACAAATCTTGGTTAACTTTCCCCACCATCCTGCATTTAACATTTTTTTTTTGTTCACTAAATCATTTGATAAAGCCTGTCCTTCTGAGATTTACAGCCTGATTTAGAATCTCCCGGGGGCCTTGATGAGCCACTAGCCTTTTGTGTGGTTAGCTATTCCAAACTGAACCTCCTTAACATTTTGAGATTGACCCATCCTTAGAAGAACTGTATTCTTGGAATCATCATCGGATTTCTGTGTACTCTGAGGAAAAAAACATTTTAAAGGATTATGTCTTAAAGATCAAAAACTAAAACCGTCCTGTGTCTCAGGTCCGTTTTTCCAAATGCTTCAGCTTATTATTGCTTAGTGGTTACAACAAAGCCTGTGCGACTAAAGAGTAAGAGGAGGCAATAAATATTGCCAAGGGAGACGTACACTACTGGAAATTCTAACCTTAATTTCAGTCCAACAGAAGCAATGTCAGATGTTCCGTAAATTTAACATAAAACTTAATTCATACCAGAAGGACACTGTGCAACCTGATCCAGCCTGGTTGAACTTGGGGCTTCGTATTTGAGCAACCTGTGAAATGCTGCTGCTGTTTCTCAGAACAAACATAAAATGACCTGTTTGGGAAAAAAAATAGAAAAGAACTTTTCATACACAGAGCCAGTGTAATGCAGAAGATTTCAGCAGGGGTTATTGCCCCTGATTTAATGGCAGGCAGTTCAGTGTATGTGTATCAGCATCAATGACCTGTTTATGTCTTACCTTCGGATTTGTTATAGGTATGATCCTCTGGTGGGGCTTGTTTCTGAAAAGCAGAGGGAAGTGCACTTCTGGAGCTTCTTACCCAGTCAAATCCATCTGCACTAACAGTCTCAAACCAGCCACAGCTGTCTGTTTCAAAGTCACATTTAGCAGCTGAAATATTGAAAGAGATATATCACTTTGTATCTCTGAACATCACCACCACCACCACCACATCAGACTGTGGAAAAACTTTCCAAAATGTAAGTAAAAGAACAAGGCTCTAAAACAAAACATTTCTACAATGTGTCAGACAGGTATCCAGGAAAAAGACAGGTGGGTTACAGGGTATCAGATTAGGTGAATTTATATTATTTATTGAAATTACAGTAGCACATAGTCATCAGCAAGGATCAGGCCTTCACTGGGCCAGGCACTGTGTGCATGCGCATCCACATTGTACGATTTGTAGTCTAAATAAACAAGAGAGGCAAAAAGTGGAAGTAGTATTATTATCCTCTTTTTCAGTAGCATAGCTGGCGGGGGGGAGCAGAGCAGCGGCCACTCTCCCACTGAGCACAAGTGGCGCCTTTTCAATTTCTTGGCGCCTTTTTAATTTTTACTCACCCGGTGGCACTCCGGGTCTTCAGCAGCACTTGGGCGGCAGGCCCTTCACTAGCCCCGGGTGTCTTCGGCGGCACTGAAGGAAATGCCACTGAAGACCCGCGGAGTGAGTGAAGGTCCTGCCGTCGAGGTGCCACCGAAGACCCGGAGCACCGCCCCGTCAGTAAAAGCGCCGCCGGGTGAGTAAAAGCACCGCAGCGGGTAGTGCCTTTTTCTTTGATCACTCCCCCTTTCCCTCCACCTGGCTACGCCATTGCTCTTTTTACAGATTGGGAACTGAGGCATGAAGGGATTCAAGATCTCACAGAAAGTCTATGTCAGAAAAAGGAATTGAACCAGATCTTCCAAATCCCACTCAATGCTTCAATTACTAGTAAGATCTACCTTATCATTATCAAGTATCATAAGTAAGGCTGCGATTTAGTCACGGAGGTCACGGATTCTGAGTCTTTCCGTGATCTCCATAACTTCTGCAGTGGCCAGTGCTGGCTCAGGGGCTTACCGGGGTGGGGTGGGGAGGGGTGTTCCCTGGCTTCCACCGGCATGTCCCTGCAGCCAGCTCCCTACCAGGCTCAGACTGGCATATCTCTGCAGCTCCTAGGCGGAGGGGCCAGGGGGCTCCGTGCACTGCCCGCACCCGCAGGCGCCACGCTTAGATCTCCCATTGGCTGCGGTTCCATCCAATGGGAGCTGCAGAGCCGGCGCTTGTGGCAGGAGCAGCACACAGAGCCCCCCTGGCCGCCCCTCCCCCTAGGAGCTGAAGAGACATGCTGGTTGGAGCCAGGTAGGGAGCCTGCTGCCCACACTCCCCCCTGCACCAGCGGGGGGCCCGGGCCACATGCTGCTGACCACCCCCCCCCCAGCATGAGTCCCAGGCCACGCACCACTGCCCGTACCCCCGCACCAGTGCCAGCGGGGGTCCCGAGCCACGCCACCACTCGCTCCCCCTCTAGCACCAGAGGGGGTCCCAGTCTATATGCTGCCGACCACCTTCCCCCCAGCACCAGTGGGGGTCCCAGGCCACCCTCCCCAGCACCCACGGCGTCCCCAGCCCAGCCCCCCAGAGCACCCATGGACCCCAGCCCAAGTTTTAGTTAGAGGTATATAGTAAAAGTCATGAACAGGTCATGAGCTGTGAATTTTTGTTTACTGCCCATGACCTGTCCATGACTTTTACTAAAAATATTCGTGACTAAAACATGACCTTAATCATAAGATATTATCAAACAGGTGAAAGTAGGACTTCTGTGAAAAAGACCTAATACCACAGCCTAGTTAAGTGTGAAAATACATTCGCTACATCCCCAAAATGATAAGACAGAGGGGTTAATTTAAAGGAAAAGTAAAAATTTAAGAAAATGTGTGTAATGCTAAATAAAGTATATCTAGATATTCAAGCAAGTGAAAAGATGACAGAGGAGAAATGGGAAGTGTTGAGGCAATTTACTGAAATCTTGACAAATATGTGACACCAAAAGATGAGAAAATAACAGACTCCACTCTCCTAAATATAATTGCTCAAATTTAATGGTATTTTATTCCTGCAATATATACATTCTTTTTATAAAAGAGAATTTAAAAGAGAATTGTTTGAGTAGTTATTTTATACAGAGATTTATTACTTATTCATATAAAATTGATTTAATAAAACTGTGGACAGCCATGGTAACCTAAGCCTCACTCACATTCTCCTCAAAGAATACCTGAAACTTCAGCAAGTAGCACACTTATGCCATAGCCTTTCTGGCCATAAAACTCAATTGCATCTGATCACAACACAGAAGTTAATGTACATTTTAAACTCAAATTTATCCAAGTCCCTTGGAAAAGGTGTTGTTAATTTACAGCAATAAACAATCATTTATGGGCATTAAAATGCTGAATCCTGAAAATTGAGGATATAGAAAACGTCAGATAGCCTAAATAAATTAACCTAATGTTATTTCTATCTTTTTTCTGCACTGTTTTATGTCGTCCATCATTTTCAAGCTTTATCATATGTTTTAAGTACCATTTTTATTTTTAATAATGAAGAATTATTGACTGTATATGGTATTTCCATAAGAGACTGATTAGAATCTTTAACACATATTTTAAAGGCTTATGTAACATTTGGCCATCGGGGGTGAAGAGCTAATTTTGGGGGCTATTAAGTAGAGTGTATTAGATAAAATATTTCATTATGAATACCACTGAGAAATAAATACCCTAGAAATGAAAGACAACAAGGAAATTCAGGGTGTGATCAAGGAAAATATAAGTTCATATAGGGTATATAAATCAACAGTGCTGCTGATGCCAAAAGCAGGTATAGCGTAGATGACAAATAAGAGAATGATTAAGAAAATCTTGATGAAAAACGACAAGACGACAAATAATATTTTGCAAATCTATAAGGAGCCAGGGTTTGGTGGAGTTGACTGTAGGTGCATTGAAGGAACATAATTAGAGAGGAAACAACAGATAGGCAAGGAAAACTATTTCTCCTTTAGTTTTTGCTCACCAGAGCCGGCAGGAAAAATATGAAACCATGTTCTGTATTCCAAGGGAGCAGCAGCAAAGAAAAGAACAAACTTCCGACACAGGTGTTACACCAAAAGAGGTAAATAAAGAAGCTAAACCTGCTAAGTCTCCAAGCCCAGATTACTTGCATCCAAGAGTGAAGAGATGGAACATAAAAGAAAGGAAGCAGTAGACCATGCATTCAATTTAGGAATGCATGAATATACTTATACAGAATAAGAACTGACTCAAACTTTCAGCTAAAAGTCAAACCAAACCTTTAAAGGTCCAAAATAGTTTGGTTATCTGAAGTTGTAATTTAAGTAAAGAAAACAAAGGTTAGGCTGTTGGTATGCAGAGACTGCTGCCTATCAGGCTGACCACGATTATCTCATTGTTTACTTTTACTCCTCGGTCTGTATCTATCTGTATCAGTTTTGTAAATTATTAAAAATATTAAATAAAGATAAAGAAAAAAATCACCACAGCTAACCTACTGTTGGTAATACTAAATGAAAACTAAATCAAATTAAAAACAAATCAACAGGTTAGTATCAGTGTTGCACTGGAATTAAATCATCCAATTAGTAAAGTAATCAAATAAATATAACCAATAATTAATCCATATAAATTCTAAAAAGGAATCTAAGAAAGTAGCTATCTGGTTGGTTACAAACCTCAACTGTAGAGTTTTACCCATGTCAATCTAATTTGTAACCTGGAGCTGGGGTTAAATATTTTGATATTGAAATCAAATTATCTCATGTTTAACTACAACCTCAAAGCCAATTATAAAGTTTCCTCATTAGATTTCAATTCTAGTGTGGTAGTTAACCCTTTCTCCTTCCTCTCCCCCTCAGATATTACAATCCAGATTTTAAGAGAACACTGATAAATGGAAGATTGGTGACTCATGTTTGGCAGTTTACAGCTGAGAGCTTTAAGTTTCCTAGGACTCAAACACAAAATACAGAACCCATTTTATTGATTATTTTATAAGATTATTGTTAGGGCGGTTTAAACTGGAGGAACTTTTTTCTGGCATCTTCCTTGTATGGACTTCACCGGTGCTCAAATGCATGCACGCATACAACTGCACTTTTGCATCCTAAAGTTAAAGAATAAGAAGGCTAGTATGTCGCCAAGTGAATAAAAACAAAAAGACAAAAGTAGAAAAAGAAAAAATAAGATACTAAAGATAAGAGGGAAGTCTTCTGGATTGGCCTGGCATAGAAGCTGGAAATAGAGCTGGATAGGAATGTTTTGATGCAGTGATTTTTTCGTTGGGAGAGAACTGCACCTCGGAATAAGTAATAGACTGGAGGTTAGAACAATCAGCTGGGCAGTGGAAGATATAGATTCAAATCTCTATTCTGCCTGATTCAGAGCAGGAACTTGAACCTTGGTCTCCCACATCTCAAATGAGTGCTCTTAACTGCCAGGCAAGTGGCTACTCATTCTCTCTCCACCTTTTTGTGAAAAATTTTAAAGAACTTGCTTTTTGTCCTGATATGAAATGGGAAAATATTTGAAATCTTGAAAATTTTCATCGAACGGGAAAACCATTTCCCCCAGCTCTAGCTGAAACTGCAGACAATGTACCAGAGGGTGATGTTGCTGGAACAGCACTTCTTTGGCTGCAGAAAGACTGCTCAAAGACTAGTGTAGCCTGTTTGTTGATGTCTTGACTGCCTCTCCCTAAGGTAGCTAGCTTTAGGGTTTCAGGAATGTCAGTCTTCCCTCAGGTGGTTTTGTTGACCTGAAAGGTGAGGTTTCTTGGTCTCACTGTTGATTCTTATAGTTTGCAAACTTTGTTTACTCTGCCTTCCAGCAGCTCCCTACAAGGCATTGGAAAAATCACTTACAAGGCCTATCTTGGAGCCATGCAACCTACTCTAATCAGAATTGAGTTAAGTTATCCTTAGCTAATGTCAATTTGGGGAAAGTCCTGCTTAAGCCAGCAATTAAAAAAATATTTGGAGACATCCACATGCCCAAAAATATCAAAATTACAGACCAGAGAACATTTCTGAAGTAGCTGTCATGGC